CAGCAGCAGCAGCAGCAGCAGCAGCAGCTGCTGCTGCTGCTGCTGCTGCTGCTGCTGCTGCTGCTGCGGGGAGGACAGGTATGAAGTTAAGTTAGCGGCTCAGTTTGGACTCGGACTATTCGATGCAAAAACTAAAAGAAAACAAAACACTGCAGCAGCAGCATCTGCTGCTGCTGCTGCTGCTGCTGCTGCAGGTGCAGCTGCTGCTGCAGCTGCAGCTGCAGCAGGTACCGCTGTTTTTACGGTAGCAGTTGCTGCTGCTGCAGTGACGCAGCAGCAGCCGCATATTGCTGCTATGGCATTTGCTGCAGCAATTGCGAGCAGAAGCATCTGCTGCTGCTGCTGCTGCTGCTGCTGCTGCTGCTGCTGCTGCAGTCTTAGTTAAGAGCAGCTGCTCCTGCTCTCCAGTGTACTTTGGGTGTGAGTGGTTCGTCCTGCAGCTCGCTGCTGCAGCTGCTGCTGCAGCTGCTGCTGCAGCTGCTTGTGGGTGTGGTGCTGCTGCTGTCTGAGCTGCAGCAGCTCCTCCATTCTCTCCTGCTGCGTAGACGATGATAGTTGCTGCTGCTGCTGCTGCTGCTGCTGCGTGCTGCCTGGTGTATCTGCTGCGGGTTTTTGCCTGCTGTAGCTGAGAGAACATCAGCAAGGTGCAGCAGCCGCTGCTGCTGCTGCTGACGAAGCAAATCCTGCTGCTGCTGCTGCCCCAGCAGCAAACACTTGCGCTGCTGCTCTACGAGGCCCCTCCATTGTAGGGCCCTTGCCTGCAGCGCCTGTGCTTGTGCTGCAGTAGCTTTTGCTGCTGCTGCTGCTGTTGCTGCTGCTGCTGCTGCTCCTGCTGCTGTATTGTCTGAGCCAGAGGCAACCCCTATACGCTGCAGCACCCTCTTGACCGTCTGCTGCAGCCCTGATGGCTCTTGCTGCTGCTGCTGCTGCTGCTGCAGCTGCAGCAGCGCGCGTTGATACTCATCCCTTCGCTGCTGCAGCAGCAGCTGCTCCTGCCACAGCTGTGCGGTCCGCTGCTCTAGCATTTGCTGCTGCAGCAGCAGCTGCTGCTGCAGCTGCTGTCTTTGCTGCATGTGTAGCTGCTGAGTCCCCGGTGTCAGTAGTATATCTTGCTGCCCGGCTGTTGGGCTTTCTGCTGCTGCTGCTGCTGCTGCTGCTGCTGCTGTTGTCTGCAGCTCCTGCAGCATATCAAGGGCCCTCAATACGTTGGCATCCTGCTGCAGCAGCTGCTGCAGCAGCAGTTGCTGCTGCAGTCGGAGCCCCTCTAGCTGCTGCTCCTGGTCTCTTCCTCCTTGCAGCTGCTGCAGCAGCAGCTGCTGCTCGCCCTGATGCTGCCGCAGCAGCCGCCGCACCTTTCTATGCAGTTGCTGCACCTGCTGCTGCAGCCCAGCTGCTCGTTGCTGCTGCTGCAGCTCTAGCAACCGCTGCTGCTTCCTTGCCTTGCTCGCTGATCGTTGCTGCTGCCGCTGCAGCCGCAGCAGCAACTGCTGCTGCTGCTGCTGCTGCTGTTGCTGCTGCTGCTGCTGCTGCTGCTGCTTTCTGTTTCTCCCCTTCCGGCCGTATGGACGGTCCTTGCGGTCGCTTGAGGAGCGCCACTGTTGCTGCTGCTGCTGCTGCTGCAGCAGAGAAAGAGCTTGCTGCTGCTGCAGCAGTAGCAGCTGCTGCTGCTGTAGATGCTGCTGCTGCAGCTCAGGAGACAGCGAATATGGACCTACAGAACTAGGAGAGAAATAAAGGGGGCTGTTGCTGCTGCTGCTGCTGCTGCTGTGCTGAGGCTGCTGCAGAGGCTGCTGTAGTTGCTGCTGCAGCAGCGGCTGCTGCTGCTGCTGTACCCGCTGATATTGCTCCTGTAGCAGTTGCTGCTGCTGAGGTTGCTGCTGCGCCTGCAGCAGCAGCAGCTGCTGCTGCTGCTGCTGTTGCTGCTGCCATGTCGAATGCCCGCGGCAGCTAGGTAATAGGAAGGGTGGGGAGGCAGACGCTGCGTCTTGCTGCAGCAGCTGCTGCTGCAGCTGCTGCTCCTGCTGCTGCAGCTGCTGTTGCTGCTGCAGCAGCTGCTGCTGCTGCTGCTGCTGCTGGGGAGTTGCTGGGCAGCTAATACCTCTCGACCCCAGCTGCCGCTGCTGCGGAGATGCAGCGTCTGTCTGCTCTGCGGGGCTGTACCAGGGCTCTTGCTGCAGCGGTTGCTGCTGCTGCTGCTGCTGCACCTGTTGTTGCTGCTGCTGCAGCGGCTGCTGTTGCAGCTGTTGCAGCTGTTGCTGCTGCTGCTGCAGCGGCTGCTGAGGTGATTGCTGCTGTGACTGCGGTATCAACTGCTGCAGTGGCTGCTGAGGTGATTGCTGCAGCGGCTGCTGCAGTTGCTGCTGCAGCGGCTGCTGCAGTTGCTGCTGCAGCGGCTGCTGCAGTTGCTGCTGCAGCGGCTGCTGCAGTTGCTGCTGCAGCGGTTGCTGTGGTGATTGCTGAGCTGAGTGCTGCAGCAGCTGCTGCTGTGTCTGCTCAGGTGGCTGCTGCAGCGGTTGCTGCAGTTGCTGCTGCAGCAGTTGCTGCTGCTGCGGCAGTGGTGTATGCGTTTGCAGCAGCAGCGTGCCCGGGGGAGGCGGAGATATGTGCTGCTGCATAGGAGTGTGTAGCTGCTGCTGCAGCTGTTGCAGTTGTTGCTGCTGTTGCTGCAGCAGAGCTTGTTGCTGCTGCTGCTGCAGCAGAATCCTCTGTAGGCTGCGGTTGCGCGGCATCGGCAGCAACTGCTGCTGCAGCAGTTGGGGTGTCTGCAGCAAATCCCTTTGCTGCTGCTGCTGCTGCTGCTGCTGCTGCTGCACCGTGTGTGGTTGCAGTTGCGGGCTTGTAAGCAGCACAATACCGCCAGGCTGCTGCTGCTGTTGCCGCTGCTGCTGCTGCTGCTGCTGCTGCTGCTGCTGCTGCTTGGAGAGAGGCTGCCGCAGCAGCACTTGCTCATCGTCTGCAAACAGAGAAGCAGGCAAAGAGGCATCCCAGGGTGTTTCTTCTGTTTCTATTTCTGTCTCCACAAGCTCTGCAGCAGCAGCTATTTGCTGCTGCTGCTGCAGCGGCTGCTGCAGTTGCTGCTGCAGCTGCTGCTGCAGTTGCTGCTGAGATTTGTTTGCATGATGATGTCTGTTCTTGCGAATTTTGGTGTGTGGCTGATGCCGTTGTTGCTGCAGCAGCTGTTGCTGCTGCAGCTGCTGCTGCTGCAGCTGCTGCTGCTGCTGTTGCTGCTGCAGCTGCTGCTGCTGCTGTTGCTGCTGCAGCTGCTGCTGCTGCTGTTGCTGCTGCAGCTGCTGCTGCTGCAGCCGCCGCTGCTCTGCTGCGAGGGCCTGCTGCAGCTGCTGCTCTCCCTGGGGGGGGATCCCCTGCTGCATGCAGAACGCATGCAGTGCAGCAGCAGCAGATTCTCCGCGCCCCACAGGCACTGCTTGTACAGCTCCTGTTGAGTCCTCCAGCTCAAGCGCCACAGCTTCGCTTGCTTCTAGACTTGCTGCTGCTGCTGCTGCTGCCGCTGCTGCACCTGCTGCTGCACCTGCTGCTGCACCTGCTGCTGCTGCGGTTGAAGCTGAGGGAGTCGCCGCGCGGGAGGCAGCAAGGCTCTCAGCAGCGAGCTTGCTGTTCTTGCTGCTGCTGCTGCTGCTGCTGCTGCTGTTGTTGTTGTTGCTGCTGCTGCTGTTAACGGTGAGGAGCTGCTGCTGCTGCTCTCGTCCCTGCAGCAGACACAGCAGCAACACTCTGGCGGCGTTTGCTGCAGCAGCAACAAGCCAAGACAAAAGGAGACAGCAGAACAACAGCAACTCTTACTTGTGGGGTTTGAGGGCTGCTGGCTCGAAGCATGCACGGCTGCAACACGCCTGCAGCAGCAGCAGCTGCTGCTGCTGCCGCTGCTGCTGCTGCTGCTGCTGCTGGAGATGACGTGTCACCTGCAACAGCAAATGCCACAGAAGCAGCAGCAGCTTCTAAGAGGAGAGCAGCAGCAGNGATGACGTGTCACCTGCAACAGCAAATGCCACAGAAGCAGCAGCAGCTTCTAAGAGGAGAGCAGCAGCAGAACGAGAACATCTTAACTGTATAGACAACTGCTGCCTAGCTGCTGCTGCTGCTGCTGCTGCTGCTGCTACTTCTGCTGGATTTTTCTTTGCTGCTGCTGCTGCTGCTGCTGTGGCTGCTTACGAGCGCTGAAGACCCCCGCAGCGTCAGGGCTCTGCTGCAGTTGTGTTGCAGCAGGAGACACGGCCTTGCCTGCAGCAGCAACAGCCAGAACAGCAGCAGCAGCAGCAGCAGCAGCAGCAGCAGCAAGAGCAACAGCAGCGGCAGCAACAACAGCAGCAGCAGCACGAAACGTAGAG